GGGGTGGGGGGGGGAGAAAGAGGCGGTAGGAAACAAAAGCGGAGGGAAAACTCTGGCCATACTGGCAGCTATACCGGCATATTTACAGAGAGAATAGAGGAGAGGAGAATACGTTTTAGTTTTGCATTTGTCGCCGAGAGAAGAAATAGTGCTTTGAGAGAGAGGAGAGTGCTCTGGTAGGTAGATAGGTAGGTAGGTGCGCGTGGGTGGATAGCGACGTCGAAGGAAAAAGGGAAGTGTGATCGTATAGGTAGGTAGGTAGGTAGCGGACCGCCGACCGGCGCGATGGAAAAGAGGACGACAAGAGAGATACGACGAGACTGCTATCTAACCGCGTCAGCGCGCTCGAGAGCAAGGGGGATGCAGGTATAGCAACAAGGGGTGGCGGGCAAAACGACAGGGACGAAGGAACGGGAGGGGGGTGAAGCAGGATCGGGTCCCATGTGCCTGTCACGGTTTTACAAGTCCATAAAAAGAGGAATTTCAGACTGAGTTAAATATTGCTGCCGCCCTCACTGAATTTCAAGCACGCACACGCGTACGACCGCCGCCGGTACATATATAATAGAAGCGCATCCACAGAGACGCGACCGCGCACCTTTTCACACGTGTAACGAGCACCGAATGGCGGGAGGAATCTTCCTGTGATATTTATTTGGCCGTCATGTGCGTGCCTGTTAAATTATTTTAGGTCGCTCGGCCATGCGCAAAAGTCGACGCCGAGGGATTTGGAAATACGGCACACAGTGAATTTTATTTATCATTCGTATCATTCACGCATTGCCGTAACTGACAACGAATTCTTTCAAGTCCGCGTTGTGCGTATAAATATACGTATCGTCCTATAACGTTCATCATCTTATAAACGTGAGCGACAATATGTGTTTGTTAAAAAAAAAAAAATAAATAAAAATCTTTCCTAATTCGTCCAGTTTGCATCGCATAATCTGCATTTATATCAACCTTCCAACGCGCATACAGAGATCGTGGGAAGAAAGTAGTTATGACGGGTTTCATGGTTTATGGCTGATTCTCTAGGGATCCCAGACACAGGAAGCAAAAGAGATTATCACAAGGGACGTACGCTTAATCCCGAACTACCGCTGTACTGGACAGCCTTACGCGTAGAAGTTATTCTAGAAATACATGGAACTATGTTACACCAAGTCCTATTTCGCTGAATATCCTATGCTTTATCTACGTACACAAACGTTGAAATAATAAATTATACATGATTACGAGAAAATTATAACTGCGCACTTAAAAACTGCGATGAAACTTATAAGAAAATGTGTCGTCATTGTGCTAATAAGATTTTTACGGAAGATATTATTATATATTTTTTAAGTTTATTTTACGTTAGAGAGTAAATAAATGTGTTAAAGCATTTTTTTCCAATTTTATTCATAACCTAGAAATAAAATTGCAAATATGCATTATCACGATGGATAAATAATTTCAACCATTGATTACTTTATGTTCGCTGTGCGTTTTTAGAGGTAATATTCCAACAATTTCTCTTTTTAACGATAAGGAAACTGGGACATAGTCGTTGAAAATTATACACTGCTGCGAGATGCTGGGAAATTTATTTTTAATACATATATTGAATTGAATGCAAAAATTAGAATGGTCTGTTGGATTGTGACAATTTCCAGAAATGGTTTCTAAAAATATCTATATTAGATAAACACACATTATGTTACGACTTTATTAATATGTTACAAAAGATTTACTACTTTATATAAAATACTATGTCGTCATGTGGATAGTAAAAAAAAAAGCACAGCACATTTTTAATGAAACCATTTGTATTCACATATTATGTGAATTTGTTCTACGAAATTGTATACATTAAAATTTCTACGTAGAAATTTCCATTGCCAATGTATATACTGGTAATAAGAGTGTCAAAACATTAGTTGACATTAAACATTCGATTAATATTTTATTTAATTAAACAAGCAAGAAAGAGAGAAGGGGGAGAGTAATTATATAGCTGCGTGGAATCAAAGTAAAAGGATATTATTAACGATTAATAAACATTTTTTTATAACAGAATATTAATTTAATGTCACTGAATTATTTTATGTGTTGAATTATTTTATTTCAGCCGGTAAATTAATTTAATCTTTATTTTACGATAATGGGCTTTGTGAAATAATGGTTAAAAGAGAAAATATGATGGCTTATATGCAGAAATATATAAAATGTTATATATATGAAATTTGTATATACAATTTTTTTTATAAAATTAGTATGTATATCAATATTTGAACAATAAATGACAATTAGACTAATAAGACGAAACAAGCCTTTTCTATTTTTGAAAGTGTAATTTGACTATTATAATTAATGTGTTTGTATTCTTACATAAATTTCCAGTTTCTCTATTCTTCACCAATAAAAATTTAGCGACATATTTTTAGTTGTAGCGTTAAGAAATAATTGATTTTAAAAATTATACATATGTGTGTGTGTGTTTGTGTGTGTGTGCTATAAGCATCATAAGAATAATAAATTAATTGTAACAACATAAATGTATCCATACATATTTCATATTGACGTATATTTCAATATTAAATTCGGCGCGCAGTTTGCAGGATTGAATATGAGAATAAATTTAAACCGAATTATTTAAGCACTAAAGATTCAGCTCGAACGTTTAAGGCCATTTTTCCTATTTGTTATTTCTAATAGATATGTGGAGAAACCTATTGCATAAAAATATATTTTATTAATATGACGATATAGATAAACATAAATAAATAAGCTATAATATAGATAAATGAGCTATAATACTCTCTTGAATTGTAATTAGATAATAATAAATTTTTAGTAGAAAAATTTTATTAAATCTAAAATTAGATATCTAAAATGTTATTACATTTAAAATTATAGATATTAATATTGCAAGATTTCATTAAATAATATTATAAATATTAGATTAATATGAAAATGTTGGCTCAAATTGTTTAATCTCTTTGCTGCTTTACTCAATTATATTATTGTATTGTTTAACAGAATTTTTACGAACATTTGTGCACAATATTTTGATCTAATATTTTTACTTAACATACGTTGTACTTTATCCAAAAATACATTTTACTTTGCAATGAGACAGCTTTAAAAATTCTCTTTTAGAGTAATTCTCTGCTCGGACCAATTAGTATGCGAGTCCAACAAGTCGAGCAAGTATGAGATCAAAGGCAAAACGCACGGTGCTAAAAATATTTTTCGTGTAAAGGCGAAAATCTGAAAACTGGGCATACTCACTGCTTGTGTCCTGTTTTGGTTGGTTACCCGGCGACGTCGCCCAATTAACTTTCATCTCCTGAAACATTAAAAAAACAAAGAATGTGTTTAATGCTATGTGATAATTTAAAAGGACATAATTTTGTCAAGAAGCTTAAGAAATATTGATACGTACATAAGTAAATTTAACGCGTGAAATAATCTTTTTGAGAGAGGGGGGGAAAGAGAGAGGAAAAGAATGATAATTTTTTAAATTCATTTAACAAAGATAAAATGTTTCTTATCACAATTCAATTTTAATATATATCAATATTTAATAAGTTTTACTACAATATATTTTAATCTACTAGAATAATTTTTTTAATCTAGTTGAATTTGGAATATACAAAACATTTGGAATATACAAAAAGAAGTAGACATACATACATGTGATATGATATAATAAATAGAAAAGAATATTACTTCTACCTCAACTAATTAAAATTTAATCTAACAATAGAAAAAAATATTTAATTCCAGAACAGATAGAGTAATAGTTCTAACTTAATAAATAATAAATACAATATTTAAATCGTAGTAAGTAGAATTTATTTAAATTATTGTAACATAAAGCTATAATCATTTTCTTATTCGTAAATTCGATTTTATAGATTTACATTTTGCATTGCTATTGATTTTTAGAGCCACCGAAATTTCTTAGACAAACTTAGGAGAATCGATCACATTACTTCTAAATCGGATCTGCAGATTCCGGCAGCGAGGAAGTGGTTTCACTTTGGAGAAGACGTCGGGCGGCGGAAATGGGACGTGTCGGGTATCGTCGAGTCCTAACAGACGCCGTAAACTGGATTCTTTATGCATCACGGTGTACCCGCTCGTAGCGTCGCAGATATTCGATAGATAGTAAAAGTCATTTCAGTGGAATCGATCGCGGCCCAAAAAAAATGAAGGTACGTAAAAGCGACGAGACTACGAGCGAGCTGCGGAATAAGATTTGCTGTATTGAATTTTGCAACGAAACGTTTGCAAAAAGACAAATTCAGGACAATAACTAAACTATTACGCGTGTAATAACTAAGCTATTACCGCTCATCAATGATTTGATATTTTCTTTTGTCAGAAGGTACTTTAACAGAAAATATATACTATGAATGATAGAAATCTATCGATTTTATCGACAACGTATTATTCTCTCAGACGGTGCGGTGTGCAATACATGTCCCTTATAAAATATTATTGGCAATTAATAAGCCCTCTGGGAAAATTCAATACAAAAACATGTGTTAAATTCATCGACATATTACCTCGCCATTTTAATAAATTTTAATATCAATATAAATTTTTCTCAAAATATAACAGATATCGTTTTCGCTCGGTAAAAAAAAAATTTGTTCTTAACAACATTAACTACGTGCGTCTCACATTATATTTAAATATATTTTCAATTAGAACTAAAATGAATTTTTACCGCACACATCCTTCAGTTACGTCATTTCATCTCTCTACGTAATCCTATTACCAATTAATGTGTGATAGATTTCACGAGCATGATATAAGCAGGAAATAGTAAAATGTTACGGCCGAAGTGCGCGGATAATAAAAGCCACGCGCACGATACGCAGAAAATGTAGACAGGGTTAATGGAAGAATGGTGTCACCAACGTGGACGACACACCAGCCGTATCAGTACGTGTTAATTCGCTACACGCAACCCGCGTGGCGTTGATATTGAATCGTTACTTTTCATTTTCTTGGCCGTCGGCATAGTCGACTCTCGGCGTCGCGTCGCGTCGTTTCGTATATAGTTTCTGGCAGGTACGGTGTTTAACCCTCTTGGATTACGAGGGTTTATGAAACTAGTACATAGGCTGAGATAAAAAAAGCGTTTTAAGGCACGGCAATTATAGGACAGTTATTTTAATAAAGACCGAACTATAACAACCAAATGATGAGTTTTCTTTTTACGCTCCTTTGTTATTCAAGTTGAATTACATTCAGCAAAACACTCGACGTACTCGAGTTTTTTCAACCGGTAATTTTTCTTGCTTTTCACTGAAATAACAATAAAATTGCTTGTGTAAAATTACAGTGCACGAAATATATATCGCATCAAATATGTATTTTAACATGAAAACGCGTATATGTTGATTAATGGTATGATAAATTTATTGAGTTTCTGCCAGTAATTTTTAAAAGCGGCTTTAACATTTCATTATAAAGCTGACACGATGCAGTCGGACGTAATTAACAATTTGTAGCTATCGGTATGCAGTAAAGCGAAGAAATTCTATTATAAATTCTGTTATAAAGCGAAATAGGAAGAAAAATTCTTTATTAGAGATCTGCGCATGCATTTTACGACACGCATTCTGAAGAATTTGATGTGAATTAATATATATTTGATTTTGATAAGCTTTCGGTTTAACTGTTCGTATAGGATTTGCGTGTCCACGCGGACATATTTTTCGTAATTTCACGAGCCCGCATTTGTACGTTGATGCTAAATGCACACCTCTAAAATCGATATAATCGAATGATAATTGAACCGAATTATGGCGAAATGTTCGAACAGAGGCAAAATATTCCGTCCCGCTTGATAAAGCATTTACGCCCACGCGGCGCTTTGTACGATTACCAGCCAGCCGCGCATCGTAAACTATTTTACAAAATATATTTGGAAGCGACATTGGGACGCCGCAACTAAACGGTAAACTAACCGTAACAAATAGTTTGCCGGATAGTATATTGAACACCGGTGTGTACAGAAGTTAAATAATCTGCGTTATTGTCTATTATGTAACAATCCTAAATATAAATTATCTCTAACCGGCTGATAGGTTCGTTCGTTGCGGCTTGAATGGCAGGAGATAATAGTTATTGCACCACAGCTAAATTCTAACATTTCTGTTAAATTAAAAACTAATATTATATACATTGTATGAAATGCTCTGTTATTTCGATACTTTCAACATTAATCACATTTCTCGAAATTTCTGCTGGACTAGTTGTTTAAAAAAAATTGAAATATGTTTGTGAAGGGGGTATATGCGTGACAAGAACAAGTAATGTTAACAGGGAAAACCGCGGCGTGGAAAAGTGCAAAGGATAAGGAATACGAAGCGGGGAATAAGTAAGTAAACGAGTGACTATATAAGTAAGAAAGTGAGCAAGTCTGGTAAGTAAGTTAGGATAGGACGAACGCGCGCGGGAGTGCCCAAGACGGCCGGTACGCGAACACGGGGCCCGCAGTGTGTCTGCAGCAATTTGCAACTTTTAATAGTTAGCGGGTTGCGCGAGGTCGTCTGCCGGTCCAGAGCCCGTTGTTTTATGGTTTATAGAGGAGGAAAGCAAGTTTACATGTCGTAGTTTTGAACAGTTAATGCACGCGCGCCTTATGCTTGAACCCCGCCTCTTTGCCATATTTATATATTAAAGGGTGAAGTTTCCGTCCGATACGCCACTTTCGTATTACTTTAGGCGTATATCTAAACTTCCGTTTTGAATAACCCGCTCGCAAAACGAGGTCGACCTAGTATTCCAACTGTCGCATAAAATGACGATTATCGATACTTCATACACTATTAAGCAATCGTGTTTGTATTATTTTGTGAATTTTCTCGTCTAATCTCTAAAAGCTATATTTTTAATTGATTTTTATAAAAATTACTGATTATAAATAAAAATAATAGAAGTAGATGTAAAAAAAATAAAATAATATTAATGTCTCATGATTCAAATTGAAAAACTCTTTATTAATTTAAAAAATTAAAAAAATAGATTAAATATATTTTTTTACTTACATTAAACAGTAATAAAATACAGAATAAGAAAAAAATAATAACAAATATCTGTAAAGATTGTCACAAAATGAATAAACATTATTATTAATATTAAATTGTAATTCGTAACAAAAATCTAATAACATATATTATATAATTTTACTTATTTTTATTCATATATATATAGCAGAGCAATTTCTGATAATCTTGATGCTATTATCCGCTAAAGAAACACACTTATATTCACGAATGGAAGTGAGACGTAAGAAAAATTAAAATTCTTTATCGCCTTCATACCATCACGTAAACAAAATCGGGGAATTTTCTGGTTGGTCAAGTGTGAGATCCGTTTTGCCTTTTGCAGCCTACATAGGCAAGCTATGCTAGGGAGCGACAAATCTTGCCTGCGAACCATCGAACTGTTGCACAGAGTTACTACATACTTCGACACAGAGGGGAAAAAGGGGGTTGGATCAGCGTGACACTTTAATGCGAGGCTTAGGCCACGGTAGGGGAGCGATTACATATTACAGATGTGAAGGTTGAGTTATTGCGAGCGAATATCGGCAGGAAATCGGGCAGAAATTGCAAGCTACTGCACTTTTGACCTTAGCCGGGGCAGTCGCCTGTCGGTCAGATATTTATTGTCCTATTATCGTGATTGATGCGCGGTTGGCTGCCCACCGGCTAGTATCTTATATAAGTACATTTAATGGGGAAAGGCCGTTTCGGTCTTTCGCATGACGAAGGACGCCGGTCCTATATTGTCGTTTAACGTTATGGCCGATGCGGCGTCCAATACGGCGGGGTGGATTTGTAACGTTTTCTTACTTATGCCTTCTTATTTTCTAGCCACATGGCGCCATTAGTCGACACGGCACCACTAACGCTTCTCGCCTGCTGCTGTAATAAGTCACGGAAATGCTATCGTAAGAAATTTACGAAACACTCGCTTACTTTCTACGTATACGGGAAACACACTAGCGAACAAGATCTCCAGTAAACCCCGTGACAATCCGTGTCGTTTCAATCGTTAATTACGCTGTAAATATCAGTACTTCGAATGCTCGAGGTATATCGATCTCGCTTGTTTCTAGGTCCGGTTTAATTGATTCTTTTCACCGCGAAGAAAGCTCGAGTATTCTGATATAAAAGCTTATCTGATGTTGTAAATAATTTTCCTCGACGGAAATACTTTTTCTACAAATTTATTCTATTCTATATGATGCGAAAAATACTATATGTATACATTTAACTTCTTCACTAATTTATAATATAGCGCATTTTGCGCGAAATATAG